CTTTGACTATTTACCTTTTACTTTACGAGAGAATACATTGTATCCCTCCATAGCTTTACATATTGGTAAAGTTAAACATGAATAAAAACTATTCAAAACTAAAGTTAAAGTTTGAGTATTATAAATAATACCACGTACACTCTCAAAACATCTTGCATCATAGTATAACAATCATAGCACAGTTATATTGTTTTGCTTGGGATATATAATTATTAGTTGACAATGTTAACTGTATAAACATTCAGAATAATTAAAAATGTGTACAAAATTGATTTATAAAAGAAAACACAAATATATATATATATATATATATATATATATATATATATATATATATATATATATATATATATATATATATATATATATATATATATATATATATATATATATATATATATATATATATATATATATATATATATATATATATATATATATATATATATATATATATATATATATATATATATATATATATATATTTACGCATGGTGAACGGTCATATGTAACATTCTTTTCTCTCATTAATAAACTTATTTTGTATGTACGTCTGGATAGTGTTTGATCATTGTTGTATGCATTGAATATTAAATGGGTCTAAGAAATAATACTTTCTTATGTCATTTTCATCACACATCTCATACATGTATCTAAAAGTTAACGAAAAATTCAAATCTTGGAGTCTTGATATTAAAAGTATTTGAGAAAAATGAATATAAATTAAATTCACCATAAAATATGTACTTATATGCACCGTAATTGTAGTATCACTATGTCCAACCAATTATATTCCATCATGATATCCAAAATAACTCTTTCTAAGTATATAAATTTGACTTGGTTCATGTTCTAATCTCATCAAGAAGGTGTCTGGAATCTTCTCTACCACCCTTGACAGTATTAACATGTTATCTAATTAAGGTATTTTAGTGTCAATATTGTGCCGAGAGAATAGAACATCTGTAACACCCCAAGATAATTAGAATATTTATTTAACATATTTATTATAAATATTCGTGATTTTCGGTGAATTTTTGTGAAATATTTTGATGCCTGATAATTTGGGTTGTGGGCTATTGATGATGTTAAGATGGTATTGAGAATATTTAGAAGTGTATGATTTGCTAGAATTATTTTGATAATAATAATAGTGGAATAATGTGAACAATGTTGTTTATATTATTATTATTATTTTAAATAATAGAAAGGGAACAGTAAGGGTAAGTTGGTAATGTTGGGTGGAATAAGTGAGGACAAAATTGGGAAATCATAATAGGGGTAACGTTAATGCTATTGTACTGGTATATCTTTTCTTCATATCTTTTATAATAATTTTGTGATTACTCACACTGCCTTCTTGAAATTGTTGCCTCTATGTGGGTAACGTGCAGGTGATCAGGGTTAGCTCTCTTGGTCCGTGAAGATTTAGTTTTGAAGTCTTCTAGTTTTTTTTTGTTGATTAGAGGGTCTTGCTATGATATATAACATCGGGTCAGGAAGTTTGAGTCGAACCATTATGTTTTTTTCTTGTTGACACCCCAATGCTATGAGTTCTTGTTTTTAAGATGATTTGAGTTATGAACTATGTTATTATTTGTGATTTTTCCGTTGCATAGTATTTGAATGAATTTATGATGATTGATCTTGTAATACGGAGTAAGACACTATTATGAAGTTTTATGTTGAAATGTGGAACCCTTGTGGTGATGTACCATGATATAATTGTTTTAATTATCGTGAATGTTCTTTGGGGTAGAAGGGTATTACAACAACTGTCTTTCATGCTTGCACCACCCAAAACAAATTTCTCAACTATGTCTATGTGATTTAAATTTGGGTGGATGAGTATCCATTGATTTTAATTGTTGTATCATAAAAATAACAGCAAATTAATACATAAATTAAAAAACACAAATAACAACACACAACACACAACACAATTTTTTAAGCCGAACTTATACTTACATCCCCTACATACCCTCTATCAACATCTCCCGCTCCCTCTCAATCAACCTCTCACGTCCATCTTGATGCATCCTATCTCTCTCATTCTAAATCAACCTCTTCCTCACCTCTTGGATCAACCTCTCGCGCTCCTCATGTTGTAACCTCTCATGTTCGTCCTGAGTCACTCTATTATGCACCTCCTCAGACAACTTTTCCCACTACTTTATTAACGTTTCTTGTATCTTTTCACACACCATTTGATCAGTTATCTCTTTAATTTATTTTTTTACATTACTTCATTACTTTTTTGCGATGATCCAAAAAATAACCTCAAGCTAACGTCTCTTCCAAGACCATGAACACGCCTAACGTGCTCCTCTGTTCCAGTCTTTTCTACAAATATGTAATGACGTTCTTATGGAACAAAGGTACCATCTTTGGATTTTTCAACTAGAAAATCCTACAACACAAATAAAATATCATATTTACCAAATTGAATTAAATAAAATAAGTAATAATGAAAAAAGTATCTACTCCATTTCTCGTAGCTGATGGTAGATATAGGTTGTGATAAAGGCTTTTAGAAGGATCTCCCAGCTCTAGTTCTATTTGTTCTCTTTTTTTATTAATCATTATCAATTAGATTTTATCATATCTTCCACGAGACAATCTATGTGGATAGATATTTCTTGCTCTATTCTCCTTTCCTTTTTGGCTATAAGCCAAGAATTCATGAGTGTTGTGAGAATTGATAAATTTCTCTCAAGTGTCCTCCCTAATAAATTTATACATCACATATGAAGGCTCTAGGTTATGCTTTGGATGTTGTAGTGTTATATTTGTAAAAAATCGAACGAGAGCGAGAGCTGTGTATCCCCTAAGAAAGGCGAAGATCATGTCTTGCCCCCAAGGAGGTATTGTCTGACCCCAAGTACCTTTTTCTCACCCCCATATATGGGAAACATGGGAAGCGACGTTCCTTGGGTAGAGAAAAGTCAGGGTCAGTATATGGTTCACGTCTCCCTAAGAAATAGGGATACAACAGTCCACCATTGACTAATGGGAGGTAATCCTTCCGAAGTAACCCTAAGCCTAAGACCTCTATAGATATTCCTCCTTTAACGGGAGAGATATAAATCATAACTTACACACAATACCAAAAGAAACATGCTAACAAATATAGCCTATCACCTCACGGGAGCAGGACCTTTACCACCATAAATTGTTATAAAGCTACTAAGGCCTCTGAGTATCTCCTTCCCTTGTAGGGATGCCATGCACACCTGTACTCTTTGACCAGTACAGTGGCGCCCACAGTGGGGTTTCAATAAAAATAACTTGGACCACACCTCTTTCATTCCCATTCCTTCCATCTTCCCTCTGAAGATGGTTGATAAAACTCTATTCTCCAATAAAAACACCATAGATGAAAGTTTTTCCGGTGAAGGAAATTTGACCTCCTCTCGAAGTAAATACGCAAGGCAGATGCTTCTGCCAAGCCAGTGGCTAAGAGGAAGTAGAAAGTTGGCAAGGCTAAAAGAACCGCCATTGAAGATGAGGTATGCAATCTATCTAATGTCGGTTTCATTATAGAAACAAAATACCCTACCTGGCTAGCCAACATGGTGTTGCCAAGGAAAGCAAACAACAAATTGCGCATGCAACTCAACTTCGTTGATCTGAAGGCCACATGTCCCAAGGATCTTTATTCACTAACGACCATTGATCTCCTTATCGACGGGTCCTCGACCTACCACACTTTGAGCTTCATGGATGCCTATTCTAGGTATAATCATATTCATATGGATCCCTTGAACGCTTTAAAAATACCCTTCATGCCGAACCATGGAAACTACTATTACAATGTCATGCCCCTCGGCCTCAAGAATGCTAGCTCGACTTATCTGTGACTCATGGATGCTATGTTATCCCATCAAATTAGGAGAAATGTAGAAGTTTATGTTGACGATATGATAATGAAGACTATTGAGGGGCATAACCATGCAGAAGATTTGGAGGATTTCATGCGGTCAATTAGGAAATACAGTATGCACTTGAATCTAGCCAGGTGCTCTTTCAGAGTTCAAGATGGAAATTTCCTTGGGTTCAAGGTGACGAAAAAGGAATTGAAGCCAATCCAGATAAATTTCAGGCATCCATCACCATGAGAATCCCCATCAATATTAAGAAAGTGTAGCAACTTACAGATCCCCTTGTCGCCCTATCTCGCTTCCTCTCATGTACGGGCGACAAGGTCTTCCTTTTCTTTTTTGCCCTAAAGAAGAAGGAAAGAATCGAGTTGAAGGATGAATGTAAGGAGGTTTTCCATTGGGTAAAATCATTCCTTGTATCTTTGTTTGAACTATAGTAAAGCGGCAAGAAGCAAAAATTTAGTTTTACAAGAATTCCTTCCGGGATTTATATCCTCTCCACAGGGATCAGTGCGAGGGAAAGAATGTCGTTCAACGGTCTCTACGTTTCTAAGCTTGTAGTGATTAAATTTGTTGAGAGATCAAAGGTACCAAGAATAAGTTACATGAAGATACATTTCTATAGTATTTTTTAACATAACCTTAAAGTCTGACTCAAAAACGCATGTGAAAGAGTAGTCCGAAAATAATTTTGGTTTTTCAATAAAATGTTAGAGTAAAATTTAGGGTGGGAAAAACAATTCCCCTCTAAAAAAACACAGATCAATTTAGTAGATTAAATCTATGTTGCACCATATCTATAACCTAAAATTATGAGGCATGTTAAAATATCCCATTATATATATTTTTATAAAATCCTAACATCAGACTTTTTATTTTAATTCTTTTATCATACTATGTGTGCTTCCTTTGAAAATTTGAATTTTATAATTGTGATACATGAATAAAACTATATAATTTTGTATATATTACATAAATAATTTCTCCTATTTTTTCTGATCTAATCAATCACCATTTGTTTTATTGATTCATCTCGTTTTCATTTGAAGTTACCATTTCCACCTCTTTCTCTCTTCTTTTTTTTTACCGATCCGTTCTTCCATCGATTTCCACGTTACCATGGCGAGAAGCGCCTCTCAATCATCTCAATCCGCATCTTCCGCTGCCACAACACGACCGGGCGTCATGGCTCCACGCGGCTCCGCTGCTGCTACAGCCGGAATGCGCCGTCGCCGTCTCGCCGGTGGAAACACCACCAGCTCCAGCTCCGCCGCGGGAGCATCCAGCGGTGGAAACAACATGCTGCGATTCTACACCGACGACGCACCTGGATTGAAGATATCTCCAACCGTTGTTCTCGTAATGAGTCTCTGTTTCATTGGCTTCGTCACCGCTCTTCATGTTTTTGGAAAACTCTACCGTTACCGATCCGCCGCTGGCGCGGCCGCTTGATTTTGTCTCTCGATCTTGAAGCTGGTTTAACGGTTTTTTGATCTGATGCTTAAGATTCTAAAACATGCATGCTTTCAGTTTGTTTCTTTTTATTTATTTATTTATTTATATATAGCTTTATTTTCTTTCTTTGTAAATTTTATTTGGATTGATTAGGCTTTCTGTTTTTTCTAGCTATGAATTGATTGGATTTTCTTGCTCTTAATGGAAATGTGAAAATCAATCTCTGCAAATTGTCTTTTAATCATTTATCTTTATTCATTCATTAGTGCAATAACTGCATCTATATATAAAAGGAAAAAGGTACAATAACTAGTTTTAACCACTTAAGTCTAGTCTTATATTTCGAGTTATTTTTGCTTCTTAAGATGTATACATAATTGCATATTATTATATTTTCATGATCAAATCTTCATTGGTACAAAGTTTTTTTGTTTACAACTGTGTATTCCAGGAGATCTTGATTTGGATTTATGGTATGAAAATTTATGATATCTACAAAAGTATTTATGAAATGCATCTTTTTATTTTTTATTTTTAGTTCGAAATTGTACTACTCAAAATATAATGATTCCAACAAAAGGGCAATATTGTTACACAGTATAATTATGATGTCAATAACATCAATAGACTTTATACTAATTAAAATTATTTTTGAAAAAACACAAGTACTTAACCCAATATTTTAAAAATCGAATCCAACATCGAATCGGTGAAAATTACCGTTTATGATTCAATTGATTAAACCAGTTAAACCTACGGTCGAACTGTTTATTAAATAAATTAATAATATGAAACTAAATTTTATATATATCTCACATATTATTATATGTTCTCAACTTAATAAAAATAAATATTTCAACAATTAATTATAAATTTAGTACAACAATATCAATAATACATAACACAATATAATTTTACACTTCATTTCAACCATATTTAAGAATATTTTGACCAAACTAAAGAATTACAATAAAATAAACAAAACTAATTCAAACCAAAAAAAAATAATAGAATACAATAACTAAAATAAAGTTCAAATAATTAAGAATAACTAAATTAAATAAGATAGAATACCAAAATATAAATAATACAATATATTTCATTAAACAACAAAAAATCAAATTTGAGTTGAACTACGATAAACAAATCTTAATTGTCAACAACAATATTAACTTGAATGACAATCAATAGAGTTGGATATCGCGACTATGTTTGAAAGAGATAGCATGATGATGATGGTATGTGGTTGAAAGAAAAATTATAATGGAGTGACAAAACTTAAAAGTTTGTATGATTATAAAAAACACACGAATTTTTTTTTTTTGTGATTGGGGAATGCATATTATGTTTTGATATTAACATATTAAAACTTTGTAAAACATTTTAAAAAATGGTCAATTTAATGATTTTTTTGGAACCGGACGGTTTTACAAAATCGGCTCCGATTCTTTGGTTCGAATGGTTTTAGACGGTTTAATCTGGTTTTTCTGGTTTAACTCCTGTTCTAGACTGGGTCGACGCTTAGTCCACGGCCTAGCAGGCCCAAAGCCCATTTGAACCACGCGGTCGAGCATAGAATCCGTCAGGAACAGCCGTCCTCCCCATCGGGTACATACCAACCGTTGTCGGGCAGGACCCTCGTGCTCGACCAACCAACCTCCTTTGCCCCATTGTCGGGCAAGACCATCGCATCCGACTAGACGACCATGTATGTTCAGGGGACTCCTCAAGGCTTCCCCCACGTTCTCTACGTGTCCCTCATGCAGGGACACGTCATCAGGTAACTACCCACCTCCTAGAGATTCGGTCTTCCTCCTCCCGGAAAGTGCGGGGCAGTTACACTAGGGCGAAGACCACGTGCTGGTCTTCACGATGCCACATCAGCCCTAGTAGTTACTAACATTGGGCCTGACAACCCAGCCCAGTGCTAGGTAACCGTTGGTCCTGCGCTGGGGACTCACTATAAATACCCTCTTCACTAGAGGGTCAGGTAACTTAATTCTCTCACTTTCTCTCTGTACTTCCTTCCACTCTGCCCGTCACTTACTTTGGCATCGAAGTGTGTTTCAGTTACACCCCCTTCCTCTTCAACACTTTGGTGAACAGCTTCTAGATCAACGACGCGTGGCAGATCATCGATCCCCTTCTGGTGCCGACTGTGGGGACTAAGTTTCCCGTTCTTTCGAGCAAAGGACCAAAGCTTCACCTCTCAAAACTCCAAAATCATGACTAGCCGACGCCATGACGACGTTGTTCATGACTCATCCCACGTCCCCGTCACCAACGGCGACAACCAGGTAGGAACATCTCAGCTCCACGAGACCAACGCGAGGGACGGCCAGACTGCCTCCCCTTCTTCCGAGGAAACGCTGCACCAGGTCGTTCCTCGGGCAAGGAGCCCAGCAGTGTTCCATCCCATCCCCACTCCAGCTGAAGCGGACCAGACGATGGTCACCCTCTTTGCAGCCATCAACCAGACGAATCAGATGTTGTTCCGGCAGAATGAGCACATAGGCGCGCTGGAACACGACACCTTGTCCCGCTCCCCTCCGCGGGAAGATCAGCGCGGGAACTCGAGGAGTCCCTCTCCCCGTCCACGTGGTCGCCGACCGCAGCTGGAGAGGCCTCAACCCGTGGTCTCCTAGAAGCGAGTCCAGGAACCGAGGACGACGAGGGCGGAACCCCCGGTCAGGCAACCGAGGGTGCGGAATCAACCCCCTCCTCGACACGGGCCCTCACCCCCTCCGTCCCCGATTCTCAGCGACGAGGACGACTACAGGACCCCCTTGTCTCGGGAGATCATGGCAGCTCCCATCCCCCACGGGATGGAGAAACCACCAGCGCTCTCGACATACGACAGCAGCTCCCATCCCTCCAAGACTTCCTCGACAGGGCTTGCCATTACATCTAGTTCGAGGAGACGCAAGCCGCCAACTCTGCCCGAGACACCCGGGACAAGGAGACCTCCCGCGGGTCTCGAGATGAAGAAGCCTCAACCCACCAGCACGGGGGAGACCGGCGACGAGGGCGGAGCTCCCCGCGTGGCCCAGCTGGCCGCTTCACCGAATACACGATGCTAGTCACTTCCCATGAGCGCATACTATCTAAGTATGCTAATTCAGAGTTTGTCTAGGGAGGTATCTGCTTCCCAAAATCGACACCCATCAAAGCTAACATGGACAAATCGAAGTTTTGCCGCTTCCATCAAAGTCACGGGCACGTGACAGAGGATTGCATCCATTTGAAGGATGTAATTGAAATCTTGATCAAGGATGGGCACCTGAAGATGTACACCCGGGGAAGAGAGCCCCCACGCCAGGAGGCTCTCGAGGCTAAAAAAGTCGAGGACCTGCCTCCCCCCAACAACGACTCCGGCCTACAGGTAGCCTTCACCATTGGCCGACCAGAGGACTGGTTCGCCCTCAGAGAGTTCAACCTCCCCGACAAACTTCATCTGCCTGAGGAACCAATACGCCCTACCAGCCGGTGGGAATATTTCCCGAGGGTAATGGTCATTTTCGGCGGGACCCCAAGCAAAATTTTGGTGGGATCAGTCAAACGAAAGTTCGAAAAACTCATAAGCAACAACTCCGACAAGATGAGCTCGCTTGACAAGTTCCGAGGTCGGTCCAATCCGATCACCTTCTATCTCAAGGAACTTCCTGGGGGAGTCCCTAACTCGAACATTCCCCTCCTGATACGGGTGCAGATGGAAAACTTCGACGTCCGACGCATCCTGGTCGACGGGGGGAGCTCGGTGGACATCATGTACACCCACCTCTTCGCGACACTTCAGCTCGAAGAATCTAACCGGTCTCCCTATCTAGGCTCTGATCTCCAGGGCTTCAACAGGATGACGACAAGAACATGAGGATACGTGGAGCTCAAGGTCACCTTCGGGGAAAAGGAAACAGTCAGAGAAATCAACGTCCGTTTTCTGGTCGTCGAATGCCCATCTCTGTACAACTGCATCCTGGGCAGAACGACGATGACCGAGCTCACCGCAGTACCATCTACCATCCACCTAAAGATGAAGTACTACACCAGGTTAGAGGCCGTCATCACCCTCAACGGGGACATCGAAGCTGCCCGTCGGTGTTTTGAAGCGGCAATGAAGGGCATAGTACGACCGGTCCCACGACTAAAAAGAATGTGCCCCCTGTCATCCCGAAGAGCGAACCAAAGCACCACTTCGACTCCGTAGACCTTGACAGCCGTTTCACCGAAGAGCCAGATCGCGAGGACGAAGTCAGCGACACTCCTTCATCCACCAACGGGCAGCCTATCCACCCAACGCGCCCCATCCAAGACGGAGACTTCGAGATCGTTGCCCTCGGGGAAGACGCGACGAAGACCGTAAAGATCGGGGCGGGGCTCCCCGACCTAGTGAGGAAACAGCTGAAGGCCTGCCTCTGCGAGAATGTCGACCTCTTCACCTGAAGCGCCACAGAGATGCCCGGACTCGGCCCTGAGGTCGCCTGCCACCAACTCTCCATTAACCCGGCCGCTAGGGTCGTAGTATAACGTAGGCGTAGGCAGTCCCTCGAAAAATCGGCGGCTGCTGAAAAAGCTGTAAAAGACCTCCTAAAGGAAAATTTTATTTCGGAAGCCCGATATTCAACCTGGCTGTCCAACGTTGTACTTGTTAAGAAAAATAAAGGAAAATGGAGAATGTGCGTTGACTACACAGATCTCAACTGGGCATGTCCTAAGGACGCCTACCCCCTCCCCAACATCGACAAGCTCGTTGACAACTCGGCGGGCTTCAAACTGTTGTCCTTCAGGGATGCATATTCGGGGTACAACCAGATCCCTATGGCCGAGGCCGACAAATAGAGCACGACTTTCATGACCGAGTCAGGCAATTACTACTACAACGTAATGCCCTTCGGCCTGAAAAACTCCGGCGCCACTTACCAACGGATGATGAATAAGGTCTTCCGAGGATAGATTGGCGACATGCTCGAGGTCTACATGGACGACATGATCATCAAGTC